GACATGAATGAATAGTAGTTATTATGGATCTTTTTGATAAAAGGAATGTTTATTATTCTTGTCAACTTCAATTAGTTGGTTAAACTTAATTGATTATCTATTGTCTTTATTACTTTGATGTTTTGGTGAGAAAGATAATCAGTAAACATTCAATAACAGGAATTAAGGTTGGTAAAGAGGAACTAAATTATTTAGTCGTCAAGTAACAAAACTTTTCATTCATCAGAGGTCTTCGTACTTTGTTAGTTAAGGATCGGAAGATCTTGTCTCTGTCACCTTGAGTATCATAGCTACGTATTATTATGGTGTCACATATCAGAAGATAAAATATATTAAATTATCTAGTTTTCAGTGGTTATCCAATTTATGTCGGTTTGTGACTGAATCTCTTCACAAATATAAGTCATCAAGGAAAATGTAGGAATCGTAAAAAGATGATGCAGAGAATGAAATTGCAGATATTTCTATAACCTTATATCAAATTATATTTCTACTGTATTATGGATAGCTGCATGGATTGAAGATGAGATTTACGAAATACTAATATTATTTAGGGCACCAATAAGTAGCTGTTTCCTCATCGATTGTACTACATAGAACAAAGAAAACTTAGTAGAAATTCAATACAAGATTAATGTTAAATTTAAATATGGCTAAATTCAAATAGTGACATTACATTTATACGATTTTTTTAGGAGGAAAAATAGTGTATATCTTCTTTTAGAAATAAACATAGACAATGTTGTTTTGACATGTAATGCAAGTTCCATGCCTCAAGATTATTTTTCGTATCATGCATCATCATCTGGCTATTATGATAACAATTAATTATTCCGATTAGTTATTTGTCGCTTATAAAATATCTTTATTCTAGAAATTTTTTATTAGCCATTATATAATTATACACCCTTGTTTGCATATATGATATTTCCCAACAAGTTATGACTTAACATAACTCCCATTGTTATTTTCCATTTCAAACCTACTTTCAGTTTGAACGGTTGATTCATTTTTTTGGTACTTGAAAATACTCTTGAATAATATTAATTAATCCAAAATACGATTCTGCAGCTTTAGTAATTAATATCATCGAAAAGAAAACATCTTTTGTTGAATCGACATTACTTTCTAAGTAACTAAATGAGTTTCTTTCGCTAATAATATATTTCACTTCCTATAATGCATTTTTATAAATGACCTCCGGTTAAAGATTGTGTCTAGCATACAAACAACGGAAAATCATCGCGTTATGACAATAAAATTAAGATACGAATGTATATATTTTGGTACTGTTCTCGAATGTTATTTCGTTCGTGTCGATTAATCACTATACTGAAGTTCAAACAAAACATTCCAATGATTGTATATTACGTTTCTCATAAAAAAAATAAAGAATTTCTACCTTTTCAGAAAGATATTCCATCATTATTCAAAATGTAAATTAATAATCTTACCTTCCCATCAGTTCGATTTCCTGTTTTTGTTTTGTTATAGTTCATCATATCATCAACTAATTAATATGTATATAATTAAGTCAGACAAATAAACATAACACTTTACTTAGTTTTACTTAATGAATCGCAGAGAACAAAAAAATATTATTTTAAATTTAACTCATAGTGAAAACAGGAAATTAAACAAAAATTTCCGTTTTCCGTTTACAATAGTTACTATCAAAACATGAAAATCAGATTTTTTTTCTTGTTTTCATTTATTATAAATAATAAGGCTGTTAATCAGAATGATGAAACATCTCGTAGATGGTAAGGAATTTTATAAAATAGTTTCAAAATGGTCGTTAATAGATTATACTTTTTTAGAAAGTTATTGAACAAAGTTATTCTTAGCTTATCAAGATAAATAATGCTATTTTAGTGATATTTATGTCGAACATAATTTACTACGTCACCCAGTCATATGTAATGCAGAATTACCCTAGTACAATTTTGTACGTCTAATTTGATACACTAAATCATCACAACATACAAAAAGTATTGACTGTTTGAGTGGCAGCAGAAAAGATGAGTGTTAAAAGATATAACTGAAGGACAAAAAATGTTTAACATAATTTCAATACTTTGGATCGAAAGCAAATAACTTTCGCTTCTCCAGATTTTTATTATACACGGACAATATTTCATTTAGGTAAGAATACAAATAACATTCGTACCACTTTTTCAGAGTAAACGAATAACCGAATTCGGTTATTTGTCTACTCACATTAAGTCACGAAACTTCAGAAATACAATTTTTTTACTCATTGAAATGTAACAAGAAATATAATAACTATTAATTTTTTTAATAGTTGACATTAGAATTCAATTACAGCTAGGCAACCATAAAAAACCTGAAAGCACTAGACGGCCGTTTCGTTCTAATGTGGGACTCCGATTCAGTGCACATCCACCATCCCGCCTTATGAGATTCGAACCCAGGGCCTATCAGTCTCGCGCGCGAGCGCTTATCCACTAGACCACTGAGCCGGCTGACATCCAATGGTGTTAATGTCTAACTTTAACCGATCCACGATATTGCTCATGATCTGAGCTATTAAAATTGCTATAATATCCACAAAACCCCTTCTGATACTAATTTTTTAGCAAATGCTCAATTTATTTGAAACTATCCATTCCAATCTTGGCATTGATACCTACAGATTTATATAAATTAATTGTTTGAAATAGTTATATTTTAGTGTTAATTTGTTAGGAAATTAGTTGTCAATGATTCCGTAAATATCGATAACCCTAATTTAATTTTATGACCGAGGATTATACTAAAGTGTTAAGATATCAATATCTCGGAAGAAAGCTTGATAGTTGTAGAAAAGAAAAATACTAAAAGTAGCCTAGTCAACAATCTATTTGTGAAGCAAATAGAACATGTCCATATTTATCTCAATTCCGCCCGTTATATTTCTAACATACAAGATGGTGGCTTAATATTAAAACGGTAAACAAAAAGGTTTTAGAAGTATTATGACGTTCATAAATACTTAATAATTGTAAATCTTCTATTTAATGTGAACATACGTTTATTAAAATCTATATGACATCTATTTAATTCATTACAGAAAAGTCAAACATTCAAGTTAGCTTCACAAAAATACATGTTACTGGTTGCTTGTATGTAATGTTCAGAGTAATTTTACTCTTCCAATCTCTAATCCCTTCACAATATATGGACTACTGTAATATCATTTTCCGTAATTATCAATGATCATTTTATAGTAAATAGAAAATCTGTCTAAAATAATACGAGTGATCAAGTCAATACCAAGTGCATAATGAAACAGGGTAATCTAGTTGGACACGTGATATAACTGTCTTGAATATGACATATATTTTTATAGTATTCCCAAATGTTAATCAGTTACTCATAAAGAAGGTTTTCTAGATACATTCCTGGATGTGTTACAAAATTAGAGTGTTAAGTAATCAACAACTCAATATGAAAATGTCTTCATTTGTGGTATCACTTTCTCACTGAAAATATCCTTTAAAATTACATATATGGTAAAAACAGTGTTCTTGAACGAAGTATGCATTAATAATTTGTGCACTTTAGTGGCGTTAGCAATTCAATTGCCCAAATATGAACTCTTTAGTAAGAAACGTATGAAAACCCCAATTGTACCATGGATGTAAATATTTTAAGTTTTTCGTCTCCAGTAGACTAGCTGAGGATACACCGTTCCAATATTTCAATATTCAGACTATTTATTTGTCAACCCATTTGTATTATTAATTTCTCCCTTAACGTATTCATTCCCGTTAAGTGGACAATAACTTTTCACACATTTGCCATCACACTATTGTTCCTCTTGAAACTTTATTAAATACACAAGCCTTTTGTGTTTAAACATTTCATGACGCAATTCATTAATGGCCTTTTCATCATAACTTCTTTACCAACAATACAAAAAGTTTTCTTTAGTTAAATGTTGATAATTTGTGAAAAATGGATTAAAACTTCTAAATTTTTCCAAATGATCGTAAATTCATTAACCAAATGTTATAAGCTTTATATTGCTTAGAATTAATTACAGTTATGATCATTTCCAACATAAATATATCAAGTCTCTACCATAGAAAATATTAAATGTTATTTATCTAAAATGTATTTACTGGTCATGAAAGTGACACAGAAAATCCATCTAACAGTCGTTCAATTACCTCCAAATATTTATCTAAAGTTCACAAAGGCATTCACATTTAAATTTTAAAACTCAAAAACTGTACTTTGTACTCATAGATCCATTGACTGACTCAAAATTACTACTTAGGCAGTTGAAGAGAATGAAAAATTCAATATGAATAATCACTTCTAAGAAATTTCTTTTGTTTTTAGTTTATCTTTTTGTTGAATTCAAGTTCTTCAAAAACATAGGACATCATCTTTAGATATATTTTTCTAATCTTGTGAATTGATACGATAATTTTGGGGCACTAAATAAGCATTTTTATTGATTCACTTAATTTGATTTACAATAATTTCAGTCCTTACCAAGGTAAAATACTGTTGTAGATTATATTAGGGAAGACCTTCTATAAATTCAATTGCTCTATGCTGTGAACACCGAAACTTTGATGTAGGAATATCTTGCTAATCAGTCTAAAACATTACGAAACTAGTATTCTGGATACTAATACTAGCTTTTGTTTAACTCTATTTACAATTCTTATGACTTAATAGAAGTTTTGTTGATAATCGGTATATGATGCACATACGCTAAAATAAACTGACCATTTTCACACCTTAACATTAACAAGAAGATTCAGACAATCATTCCAAACAAATTCGAGAAAACGTTTTTAGTCCTTAAAATATTACTATGCAAAATATTTCAATATAGGTGAATATACTGTCAGTGAAGAATTTTCATTGACTTAGTTGTCATATCAAATTTTTAATGATCTGCCTAGTATAATCATAATCACTTTTTCATTTTATCCCCATATTCTTAGAATGATCATCAGATATTTACTAAGTTTTTATTGCTTATACACACACATGCACACATACACACATAATTATGTAAATATACACATAACTCTTGTCACAATGTGACAACGTATTTGAAGAGAAAAAAATACATATATATATTTCTACTATGACAGGTATTTTTAAAATTGTCTGTCTATAAATAGATCTGTCTGTACTTTTTTATGTCTGTTCACATATTTCTAGATCAGTGTTGAAGGTAAGGTTGGTTAAATATATTTCTAGAATAAGAATTGAAATTGTTAGCAACAATTATTTATTCAACTATATGTCCGTCTATTATTTTTGATGACTTCAGCTTTTACATTACATATGAGGCATCATCCATCAAACCCATTGAATAATAGATCAATTAATTAAATTTTATTATGAATGATGAAATACAATAGAAGAATATCTAATGACATATATTTCTTTTTTCTAAATGATCCTAGAGATCAATAATCTTTGTAGAACATTGAAGATTTCAATTCAAAGTAGAATAGCAAATAATATGGAAGGTTTATTCAACCATTTTATTACTTAAAATGTCTTATCATTAGATTAATATTATGATAAACATATATAAAAGGAATATATCAATGTTGTTTATCATATTCAATGACTTCATAATTCAAGCATGTCGAATACATCAAACACCATTTGAAGAATTCTGAGTTGAATTTTCAATGTTTCCAATTTAAATTATCACTTGACAACTCATTTTAAATTTGAATGTCATTAATAATGAAGTTAATTAAAACAAAATAAACACACGATATTGAATTTAGGTATATTTTAGATTTTTTTAAAATAAAAATGTGGTGTATTCCAACAAAACATGAACATTGGTTTAAATTATTATTCATTTATTCATTTATTTCATGTAATGGTTTATTGATAATTGTGAATTCTTTGGATATATCTTACTGGATAATTGAAGATACAAAAATGACAATCTCACAATTGGAGAATTCTAGTATTAAATCAACATTATCAATGAATAAATCAAATACCTCAGAATGTATCAGTGAAAATGATTCTGTATTAATTACTGGGATAATTTTTATTTTATCATTAATTGTTGCAATAGCTACTGCTGGAGGAAATTTTCTAGTAATTTTAGCCGTGATACTTGTGAAAAAACTTCAAACACCAAGTAATATTCTTATTGGAAGTTTAGCATTCAGTGATTTCTTTGTGGCTCTATTAGTTTTACCCTTTACAATAATTGATGCATATCAAGGTTATTGGCCGTTCAATGAGGGTTTATGCGATATGTATATATCTTTCGATGTATTATTGTGTACTGCATCAATACTAAATCTTTGTGCTATTTCCATTGATCGATATTTGGTTATCACAAAACCACTGACATATGCAAGTAGACGAACACCACAACGTATGGCTGCTATGATAGCTACTGCATGGATAGGTTCAGCATTAATAAGTATACCACCAAATTTTGGCTGGAAAGATCCATTTCAAAAATGTGCCTGCGAGTATAGTAAAAATGTTGGTTATCAGGTGTATGCAACATTTTTCGCATTTTATCTACCACTTATCGTGATGATTATTCTGTATGGTAGGATATTTAAATTGGCTAGAGAAATGTCACGTAGTGGTCAGTCAAAAATGACAGCAGGCATATCACGTAAGTCAACTGAAGTGCCAGAAACTGTATCTAATAATTCACATTCAGAACCGATATTAGATAAAAGTATACAGGAATTACAAATTACAAGTACAAATATAACTGAATATGTACAGTCAGATGATGAGCATATAGTAACTAAAGCAATTAATAATGGTGTGAAAAAGGAGGGAGATACAAATGATATCTGTAAAGCAAGAGAATATGATAAAAGATTAAACTCTTACTCATCAAGAAAACTATTAACTGATTCTATGAATGTGACCAATGAATTGTCCAGAGAAGCTCATGGAAGAAGATCTCGTGGGAATTCCGATACGAAAGTAATTAAAACACTCGGAGTTATAATGGGATGTTTTTGTCTTTGTTGGCTTCCATTTTTTATGATACAGGTGAGTTTCATTTATTTATCAAAAACTGTGCAAAATGTTCATCAGTCAATGAGGACATAAGTACTTCAAAGTTAAACCATACGTGTGAATGTAAAATATATTATTTAATAAATTCTCAGCTAGTTTCACAGTTATAAATCCGAATGTGTTCTAAAGTGATAATTGAGCTTAACAAAACTTCAGTTACTTAACATTAAACATTATTTCGTCTGGTAGTTTCATTTGAACTTTTCTTATGGGAAATATAATCGAAATGAAATCAGACTATTGGTTTTGATCATACTGAACGTTAAGTTCAGATCAGGAGTTATTGAAATTATTTCAAATTTAATTCATGAGATTATTCAAAGGCCAAATTTTCATTTAATGTCTTCTAGATACCCGGTGTCTAATTTTTGTGGAACGCTTTTTTAATTATGAGCAATGTTAATTTAGATTACTTGAGGTCGATTTTTATTTTCAACTTAGATTAGCTGAAGAAACACTAAAAACTCAATATGGATACTAAACAGAAGTTTTTATCTAGTAAACTTTTATCAAGTTTTCCAGTTATAAGATCATAATTATGATAGAAATATGATCATAACGTTCAGTGTAACAAGTGTTCTTGTTAGGATTATGTAAGTCGTATTAAGCGTCACTAATAAAATAAACTTGTTAGCATGCACTATTTTCTTGCATCAGGTTATGTGTTAAATGAAACTGTTAAAGTATCATAAAGCAAATCCAGAAAACGCAGGTTGAAGAAATAAAGATAATTAAAAACAGTGAGATTACTTTAATGTTCATATCTCAACGTTATGTTTCGAAACATCATTTGAATATACTGTGTAGCGTAATGACTTCCATGTTACATAAATTAGGTTACATTTTTTATTCATTCTAACAAGATGATTTATATGTATGGGCTATCGTAAATCGCTTATTAAATCAACACATTACATTTAACAATGTCCAGTATTCTTATATTGATGAAAACATTTGTATTATATTATGGTTGTGATGTACTAGCTAACGCATATTTATAATATGAAGCTTATTTTGTGTTATGAAAACATCAGTTGAGGAACAGTTCGAAGCTATTAAGCATTGCACAAATATTTTACCTTAGTCTAGGTCTGTTTAACAGCCGGAATCTAGCACCTTACTGTTTGTTTGTGACTATCGAATTTTAAGTTCCATTCTATTTGTTATGAAGTCAAACCCCGAATCAATATCTTTATTTACTCTTTGTAGATGTTCTCTAATTAACAATTTATCCATTACACTACTCTGTAGTTTTATAAGCAAAGATGGATAGTGGCTAGCAATGGAATTCTGGACGCGTGTTTCGTCCTATTCGGGACTTGTCAGCTGGACGTACCTACATCGGAGTTAATGTTCACTCTGGGACTCAAACCCAGTACTTTTCGCTTCAAACGCCATCTACTTAGCCTCTGAGTCCTGATAGCCACCTGCTTGTTTAATGGGGTGAAGTTATACTCACTTGGTGTTGTATACTTGTATCTTCCATCGATGTTTAGGAGTGCAATTGATCTGTTTCTTATTGGCATATGTGCATCCTGTAAGGATTGCCTCAATATTGCCTGAAGTTATAAGCTGTATGAGAAAGAGACTAATCAATTGCAGTTCTAAATAACAACACGTATACAACACTAATAAAAATATATTCTTTTTATAAACGGCTTTTCTTAAATCTAATTTGCACTGACACTTACTTACTTACTTACTTACGCCTGTTACCCTTCGTCGAGGAGCATAGGCCGCTCACCAGCATTCTCCATCCAACTCTGTCCTGAGCCTTCCTTTCCATTTCTTTCCAGTTGCTATTCATCCTTTTCATATCGGCTTCTATTTCCCGGCGTAGTGTGTTCTTTGGCCTTTCTCTTTTCCGCTTCCCTTCCGGATTCCAAGTTAGGGATTGAGTCGTGATGCACATTGGTGATTTCCTTAATGTATGTCCGATCCACTTCCAACGTCTTTTCCTAATTTCCTCTTCAGCTGGAAGCTGGTTTGTCCTCTCTCCGCCTGTAGCTCTTCTAGAGTTACTGCCGGTCCCAAGCCCGGGTAAAGGAGGAGGGTTGGGCATGGGGTTAGCGACCCCATCCCGTAGAAAAGCTAACTCGCTAAAAAAACGCTAACCAGAAAAAAATTTTCACTGACAGGAGCATTATTTTAATCTTTACTGCTACCTGAATGAATTTGATATAAATATGGTATGCTATGAATTTATCACAATAATGTGTTTTACAGTAACAAATTAAAAATGATAATATTCATTTATAAATTATGATAAACCAGATGAATTGTAGCCTATGTAAGATTTAAAATATATTACATCAGTTTCAGTAGTTGAATCACGGATCAGTTTTGTTTACATTTAGGAATAAATGAATTTGAAGTTGAATCTTATGATAGGAATTACTTCACATTCAAACTGTTAAATTATTCTGATTTCCGTCAATTACAAAAATGTAGACTGTCAAACTTATAATTCACTATGTTAAGTTTTATCCTTAGAAGACATTTGTAAATTGTTTATTATGGATGCTTTGTTTTTTAATCAAAACAAAACGTTTGCGATACCAATTTTATCTGTTATTTTAGAAATTATTCATTTAGGATTTCTAATAACGGCATTGAATCCAACATTTTGATAATACAGTTCTAAATCAGCTGTACAAGAAATAACGGCAGATTACTAAAGTCTTTGATGAAAAACTTGTCAACCAAGTAAATGTGTTCGTTGATAGGTATTTCATGAAATTCATTTTTACTTTCACATTGTACACTTTTAAATATGTTGACCATAAGCTTCAGTGATTACTCTCATGAAGAAATCTTATATTGATGAGGTATGGACACAACTTAATGTCATTTATAGTATTTTGTTTAACAGTTAAATGATATTTATTATGCTTAAGTATATGTTGCTTTCATCTATATAGATAGACTTAGAATTTACTTATGACATATGGTTTCATAAGTAATTAATATATCCTAATAAATTTTATCTTGCTATATATATATATATGTATATATATATATATATATATATATATATATATATATATCTGTTACGGAAACTAAAGATTAATCGGATACAAATACCACTAAAATTTAGCTAGTAAAAAATATCAATTCATATTTAAGTTAAAATACTCTTGCAACATACGCAATATTTTCATGTTAGTGTAATTGTCTGAATGAGTTTATAAAGACGCATTTTCTGTAATGCATTACAAATGTTCAAAGAAACTTTTCAAAATTGAAATACGTAGAAGGTTGTGACTAATAGAGAATAACACGTTTACATCTTACAAGACAGGAGTCTAAGTAAAATATTTAATTATATGCTATTTGATAGGCTAGTAGCATATATGGAAAATAAAATATCAAAGGGTAATTTGTATATACATATATTTAACGCAAATTAGAAGAAACCGCAATATCATAAAAGTCATTAGAACAAATTTGCTCTAAATGTTGTTGTAGCGAAAACCACACGAAAATGTGCAGGCAGAAACGTATTTGTGATATGACTATCAATCTTCTAAAAATAAACCATGGTAAAGTCTATAACTTAATTGACGATTAAGGATAAGTTAAAAATACATATCGCATACTTTTTTAAACTTGGTTTGCATTAAACAGTAATGGTACATAGAATTCGTATCACTACTATCAATAAAATCTCGGAAATATACTTTATTCTATTTAGGACAAATCATCTGGGTTTCCATATAACACTATATGGTTTGACACTTGAGAGCAAGTTCGTGGATATAAAAACCTCTAAGCAAAGATGGATAGTGACTGGTAGTGGAATCCAGGATTCACAAGTAAGTGGCTATCAGGACTCAGTAGCTAAGTGGATAACGCGATGGCATTTGAAGCGAAAGGTACTGAGTTCGAGTCTCAGAGTGAACGTCAACTCTGAGGTGCAAATACATCCAACTGACGAGTCTCAAACAGGACGAAACACGCGTCCAAGGTTCCACTGCTTTCCATTGTCCATCTTTCTTATAATATTTGTGAATTAATGGAATATCGAGTCAATACGCACAATGTGCACATATGCCAAAAAGAGACTGATTAATTGCAGTCTTAAACATCAACGTGAAGATTCAAGTAATCAATACGAAATGATTTTTAAAAGTTTCTGTTTAGTTAGAAATGAAATGAAGAGGTTGTTTAATACCTCACATCGTATGCAATAAAAGGTGAAAACCTGAGTGAATATTTTCTTTAATGAGACGTGTTTTTCTCTAAAACAGTCAATCACAAGGATATCAACCGAATGACTGAAAAGGGTAAATAACCCTATTTCTGTATTGTACAGAAATAAATAAAACATTGTTTAGCACTATTCTATGTATACACCTGTATGTTTATTGTATAACGCAACGAAAGGATTTAATATATGCGTATCTATGTAAATGTATATACATGATATCGTTTTATCCTTTGTGTTATTTGTTGCACAATTTGCTGGTACGCCGGTCCAGTCATCAAGGTTGGTAAGGTCTTCTGGAAAGGCAGATTGCTCTGTCTAATAAAGTTTAAATACTTTCAAAGGGAAAGCTTCCCCGGGGAGTGATAGACGTTTCAAGTCAAGTAACTACTAAGGATAACTGTTAGAATTTGTTACTGTTTAGGTGCTTGCTACAAAGTTTAATGAGATTAGATGAATGCCACTCTTTGTGAGAAATATGCATTACATATACACTTGAAATACACTTATAAAATCAATTTATGCATTCAACGACACAACCATAGATTACATCTTGGGGGGGTAATATTATTTGCGCTTTAGTTCTTTTAATTTACTGCTGACTTATTTCATACTCCGAAAATTAAAATTTCAAATTGTTTAGTATCAAACAGATTCTTTTTTGTTTTGGTGTATTCGTTTAACATAGGTTGAGGTGCCCCAGTTAAGTCAATTTTTGAAATGAAAATTCATACAATCGGGAAAGAATAAAATTAGACTAGGACAACAAAAAATCCATGTTTTATATCCAGTGTCAATTTCACAATTTACTTACTTCTAAAAAGCTTAGATGAACAATTCAACCAGCATTATGAATGTAACTGTTTTATAAACTTACTTAGCAAAGTTGCTGTGTAATTGTATTATTTTTAGATGATTTTGACAGTTCGCAATTGTGCTGTTACATTGAATTTCTGACGTATCTGTTGATGAAAGCATGAACGACTAAGTAGATAATATCTGTTTATACGATATAATGTTGTGCAGCAAATTTAGTACTCATCAAAACTTCAGTTTCCGAAGTCATATTTACTTGAAAGGTAAAGCTAATTGTGTAATTACATTAATGTGGACAAAATGTGTTTTGATTTTCATTCGTATGACTAGCTGTTATTTCATACATAATTATACATGAAATATGTTTGCAATCCGCATTTTTGTCGATATTGGATATATAATCTAGTTTTCGTAATTTCTATGGTGAAATTCTTGATTTTCACCTCTCTACGGCCTATTGTTCAACCATGTAGGTACGCTAATTTGTTGATCTGTCAGCAGAAAAATTCGTAATAAAAATTGTTTATCTATTCTGACTTCATGCTAGCGCTAAATAAAAAATAGCAAAGATGAAATAGCAAAGGTTAATACAGTCCTATTAGTATGAGAATCAAATTATTTAAAAATCAGCAATATGTAATATTTGAAATGATGCATTCAGATAAACGCTAGATATGATTCCAATATTTGAGAAAACAGAATTAGTAGTAATGTGAAGCTGTGATGCTAACAGATATATATACATTACATAACATTAGAAACCTAAATATTCATCAGTTGTGTACCACTTGTATCTAAGCACGTAACAATAAACCCCCTTCACACTGTAGTGAAAATCCTTGACGTCAAAGTGAATAACCATTTTTTATCCTGATTATTAGTGCTATTTGACTTCCAAGATATGATTCGTTTCTCTTCCTGACCACATTATCCTAATGATCATTTTATTTTATACTTTGATGTAAGATTTTCTTTAAAAGGTATTCTAAACATCTAGATGATTTGTTAACGCGGTTGAAAGCATGAGTCAATCGAAGCTAGACCACCAAGGAAAACGCGGAAGCACTGAACGGCTGTTTCGTTCTATTATGCGACTCCTCAGTAGTGCGCATTCACGATATCGCCTCATGAGATTCGAACTCAAGAACTATCAGTCTGGCACCAGAGCACTTAACCGATAAACCACTGAGCCAACGGTGTTATTGTCTAACTTCAACCAATCCACGAAGTTGAGCAACCGTTCACCAATTGTCTACAGTGAGTTCCTATCTCACAACAGACGTACTTTAAACTCCACTGGTCACTGCTTCTCATTAGAACTTCAGGAATCATCTCCTGAAGTCAGTAACTCCCTTATTAATTGTTTTAAGCAACACAATCTGAAATGTAGTATTTATTTAATCTGTTTGCAGGATATTATAGTTATTAAGACTTGAACAATTATTGATGTTCAAGTTCAACTTTCGTAGACATTATCGATTTACTTTGAAGCAGGCCTCCAATTCTGCCTCTACATTAAAGACACACTTAACAAATGTTACTGAGTACGCTACACAGTAGTATACTTCATACAATATCTAAAACTTTTATGTTGAAAATTGAACTTTTTCTAAAACTGATCGATTCTAAGGAGATTAGATTGGTATACTATGGTAGTAGTACAATACATCGTGTTCTTTCTATGTGGAATAGTTGATAGTTGTAATTTAAGATAAATATGAAATAAACATAAGCGAACATTTAATTAGATTTAATCCATTAGCGACGGTAAAATAAATACCTTTCACAAAGTTAGTATGCCTTTAATGTTAGTCATTAGCAACCATTAAAATCACCATTATTATAATAAATGAAAACATTCATGTGCATCTTAGCCTCCTATTAAAATTCTAAATTTTAGTGACTTGTTAAGACTGACGATATGATATTTATTGCTCTCCTAAGTTTGAAGTTTGTCTATGTTGTGAAATTTTACACTAATTAAATTTTAGTTCATGACTTCAGTTTTGTTGTATCAAACAGTATTATTTATAAATATGTATAGGTAAAACTTGTTTTAACAGTTGAATTCACGAGTCGATCTAAGCCAGGCCAGTAGTGAAAACATGACAGTATTGGACGGTTGTTTTGTCCTAGTACTAGACTCCTCAGCAGTGCACACACACGATCCCTCACGTGTGATTTGAAAACAGGACCTTTGGTCTCGTTCGCGAACAATTAACCTCTAAACCGCTGAACTGGAATCCAACGGTGTTAATGTCTAATACAGATTCATCCATGATCTTGCGCAACCCTTCATCCGTTGTCTGAGGTGGATAACTGTCTCGTACTCGACACAGATCAGACTACACTGGTCACGGTTTCTCACTAAACCTCTCGGAAGTCCATCTCAACTGTTATAATACCACAGTCTTCACAAATCCTCATACTTATAATGAAATTTGTCTTAATGCATTAGTATTAAAGTTTCAGTTTAGGTTAAATTCATGATTTTTATATTGAAAAGCTGAATAGGTTTTCGTTGAGGAATTACAAGCAGATATGTATGTAGAAAATTTCTTAATAGTCTAAATTTCTTAGACTTCCTCAGCAATAATTGAGTTTGGCAATTAAGGTATACTGATTACGAATATCTATACAATTTAGTGCGAATGAAACAGTTTCCAACCAATAAACAGGCTGTAAACAAGTGTATTATTTATTTGATACTGAATCATTATTGCTAATAGGTTAATAGACAAATCGCAATCAAGATAAAACGTGTCTGTGAAAGTGTTTAAAAGAGAATATTGTTTTATTTAGTCGTCTAAGCCCTTAATAAGCATTGAAACATGTTCACTAATGATATCGTGACATGCATTAAACTTTACTTCAAAAATAACAGAAAGCATAGTCAAATTTGATTATTTATGTCGTGAGTTTCATTTGAATCAGGACTGAAAACAGATATATGTCCCATTTCTAGGCAGCAGAATAACTTCCTCAAGATTTTTGAAACTAGCTATTAAATTATTTTTTATCAAGCTACTTAAGAAATCGTAAACAGTACATATTAATTTAGAGCCAAAACCGATGAACTCAATTTCTCGATTCTGAATATATGTTCGATATAGTACAAGTTAATTTTTATAGACATATCTGTTATTTTCATTGTTTAGTCAAAATAAATGAAATTTAAATTAATAAAAATGAAATATTCTAATCAGTCTTTTGGAATTGCTGTTTTTTTACAGAATATCATGATATGCCGGGTAAAATGAGAAAAATGATTATGGTTAAATCTTACGGTAATTAGTATTTTTCTCACTCAGTTTGAAACCTTGAGTGTTTTATGTATTGGTCACACGGAAAGTAGTACCAACCATACACAATTGTCTTTTGTACAGATGTACAAAGTCATGAATTTGGAGTAACTTAAAACAAGTCAACACTAGAGTTTTATTAAATAAATAAGCACAGTTTATGAGAAAAATACCTGAACGTTAGACATGGTTGATTGTTTACTGTCAATTCAAAATTGTAGACGTAAAGCTTTGTGTTAGCATGAGGAAGAGATGCGATTAAGCAAGGATAGAATTAGAACACTTGCTGTCCTAATTTAATTTGTAGTGTGATTAATTGATATATCTTTCATTATATCCTGATGAGTAAGAAAATTATATTTCTGACATTTAATGACTTAATGTAAACCATTTTTCAGAGTAATTACATATTATATTTAGTTAGTCTGAAGAAATGTCTTACATTAAGTCGTAGAACGTCAGAAATACAATTTTTCTACTCCTTTGAATATAAAAAACATAGTAACTATTAACTTTCTACCAAATACTCAATTTATTTAAAACTATCAAGTTCAACCTTCTTATTGATACCTACAATTTCATTAATTTGTGATGGTTTAGAATATCTCGTTGTCTATATTTTAACTGAACTTTGATCAGTTTTGGTTGTCCTGCGTACGTGTCATGTGGATTGTCTTACTATATTCATCAAGTCACAAGTTAATATCAATAGATAAAACGTAAAATCCAGAACGTACACTTCGTCCTGTTTTTGATCTGTCAGATCGATGTTCCAGTTGTATTGCACTGCTAGCGAAATTTCATTTACTTTACATCAACTTGTGCCTTAATGTTTATATTGCGGTACTTTGCATAGGATACACAAGTGCCAATCAATAGCGCTTTCAAAACTAGTGGATATTTTGGATATTTTGCAGTATATGTTTGTGTGGCTTTCAGCTGAGGTTATTCTATGCAAATTCATGTATGTTAACTGGAAAAATCAAGTCTTCCGATATAGTTAAAAAATTATGTAACTGCTGAATTCTTTTAATCCATAAAGTAATTATAATACGTTATATCTAACAATACTGTAATTATTATCCACGTTTATATATGGGAACGCATGTGGCGTATCCATAATGCAGAAACTTACGATAATTTTGAGGATCATTAAATCTTGAGTATGAAATGTGTTTGTTGTTGATGAACTGAATAATCTCTTATATCCGAAAATAAGCCATATATAATAATGATAATAACTGTGTCCTACAAACAAACTTTAATCGTTATATAACAATTAATAAAGCGAGTTCTCATTAGTTGTAATGCAGATAGATGACAATTTAATCGTGCAATTAATTATTAAAATAATTTGATAAAATTGATTATTCTATTAATAAAAAAAAAATAATTTTTTTCATCTAATAAAATATGACGTAAATAAGAATTACGTTTTCTGTATTCTTCCCAATATAATGATGAGTTTATTAGTTATAAAGGATTAAAAATAAAATTTACACTGAATTCCTCATAAAGATAATCTGCCAAATTAGGGGGCCAGGTAGATGTTACAACAAAATAATACTTTGTGATTAAATTATATTTTATCATTGATCAAGTTCATCATAAAAATTAAGACTATCTCAAACGGTTGAACTTTGTAAACGAAAGCATAATATTATCACCATCTGAAAGAATATTGTGAAATGTGTGTATATTATCATACTTCAAAAATGTAAAAGTATTGAAGTTCTATCTCCCAGATGATGTTGATGAACATTACAATATTTACTTTCTATTGTTGAAGAGATTACTGAAAATGAACGAACGGAATGAAAGATCAGCGTGACGATGACAAGACAAGCTAAATTATTCTGATGTGTCACAGCCGTGTTACTAGAGAGAGAAAACCCGGTTCAGATGAAGGAAAAGTATATTGCGCAAGCACACAACTCATGTGTAAACATGCAACATAAACA